AGAAATACTTAAGGTTTTGTAAAATAAATCTCGGTATATTATGTTGTCAATCAATCAATTAAATACAGTTATGCGATAATTTTCTGTTAGACTACATTAAGGTTAGGTCATTGAAAACAGGATATTTTAAATTATTAGCAAATATATTCTCCATATTAAGAACTTCTGGTAAATATAAAATTATGCATACATATAATTTTTTTTTGTTTATGGATGTATTTTTATACTTATTTGGCATAATCTATACATATATTCACAATATGCATAATATGTAAACAGGTAATTTATTAAGACAGAAACATAGGTAGAAAGAAATTACTCAGTGGTAATACTTTTCGACATGAACGATTAAGTATAAGCATTTATTTATACTTTATTATTATTTGAACATTTTATATAAAGAAAAACACAATACATAGAAAAACTTAGACAGTTTCTTACCTTACACATTCATACCATGTCATTTTTTTCTCAGATCTAAGGTAAGGTCAATTAAATACATATCTATTTTACTTATTGGATAATTCTGTAACATTACGTTTAATTTCTGTCTAAAAAATAAAATACTAAATAATATTATAAATATTGTAGTATGTAGTTAATATTATTAATAAGAAAATTAGAAAGGTTTGAAAGTCAATAAGCTGATTTCACTTTTAATTATTTATTATTATATATAATAAAAGATTATATGAAATAGATTCAATTTATCGGAGCTTATAATAAATTACATATTATCTCACATACCTATATGAATAATTCTATTTCCGCCTGAACGAATATTCCGGAAGATCAACGATGCGGGATATTATGCAGTGGGCCGTGTATGAAATTGAGTATAGTTTGAGTCGTTTGAGATTTTTAATAAAATAATAACAATTGATACATCACCTAAAGGTATTCAACCAGTATTCTGTAATATAAAATTCTATCATTCTTGTTAAAAATAAACACTAAAAATAATAGGTACATTACATACGAAATTAGTTCAAACCATGAAAATTTGCCTGAAATCTTGTAATTAAAATTTAAAACAATTATGAATTTTGAATACTAAAAATAATTGTTAGTTGGAAGTTGAATACAAGATATTTCACAAGTTTTGAAAAGAGTTTTCAAAGAGTTGAGCATAAATCCAATATATTTTTTATGAGCATTTGCGGTATTTAGATTTGAGGAAAATGAATATTCAAATGTAAAATAAAGATTTCTCATCTTATGTGAATATAGGACTTTTATTTTGTTATTTTATTGTTACCAAAAATAAATATTAATCCTAGAAGCTCAAAAAAGCAATCATTTCACTACTTCTTAATTATCAATAATTGTCTAACAAAATTAAATTTTCAAACTATTTAATTAATTATAAACTTTTTATTTTTATTTGTCTTATTTTTTTTACGGTTTTTCTACAAAATATTAGTAAAATGTATACTGCTCGCCTAAAAATCTTAAATTTAATATAATATCGTACATCATGTATGTCTGTTATGTATAATTAAATAATAGAAAATGGAAAATACATAGAATTGGTGTATACTATAATAAAAAAAAATTTGTGTATACCTATATGTAAATATGTTATATTGTGCAACATTTTTTTTTATATAAGGATTATAATTTCGGTGCTACGCCAGCATCCAAGAAGCACAACAAATTATTGTGAACATTACTGCCCTAAGGGCAGTTAGCCTTCAGTCAATCCACGAGAACCAAAACGTTTCTTCTAAATTTTCAAAAATATTTGATTAATTAAAATCACACACATAAACACGATCAATATCCACAATGAACAGAAAGTCATGGGTCGCTTCCAAACAGAGTTTATCATGCAATAAACAAAAGCCATATTTCATATTTGTGTCTCCAGTTAAAATTATAAATCAAAACAGAATCCTGTCGAACACAGCAAAAGGACTAAGCTACAAATCTGCAATATCTAATGATTACTAATTAATGATGAAAATAATATTTTCAACTGGTCTACATCTAACTCAAATAATTCAGTAGCTATACAAAATAAATAACACTCCTCCAGTAATTTTGCCAAAATCAGAACTGCCTATTAAGGACACCAAATTTCTTTTCTAAAAACAAATACTACGTCTCACTTTCCAAAACTAATGGAGAACTACGGATAGAATCAGTTATTATGCCCCACTCAAACACAAGATCGTCATCAACATCCACGTACACTTCACCACTACCATTGACGCCGCCAATAATCATTAATATAGATATCAGACATCATCACTTATCACTCATTCTCCAACACTATTCGTATCGTCTGAAGAACTGCTTAACTAGTCATCTGTAAATGGACTAAAAATCTAACCCAACTTATCCAAACAAATATTTAATTAAATGTTGTCGAAATATAATAAAAATTAATATTTAAAAGAAAAAATGGCAATTTCCACATATATTGAGTACTTATATCAACAAAATTAAGAAAAATCTTATCGTGTAGTAATCAGACACTTCTGCCATTAGGTATGTAAACACTAATTATAATGTACTGCAAAAAATATGATTTAAAATCCAAAAGCTTTCTTATCGGAAATGCTACAAAAGTTCCCCATGGTCAAACAAAGTTCTTTTTTGACGTCGAGCCTTCGCCCACCAAAAAAAAAAATGTATTTAAAATCGATACACTCTATGGTACAAAAACAAAAACTGAATACTAAACCATTAAACAAACATACAACCATACCTACTTAATTACCTACATAGTACATAATATAATACAAGTCAACATTTCTTCTTCAGTTTACTTTGAACAAGTTCCATTTTAACAACAAAAAGTAATAAATAAGTTATATAAGTTATAATAATATCATAACTATGAACAGTATGGAGTTACACAGTATATTATGCACTTTTATATGAAATAACCCGTAATAAACAGGTAAAATATTTCTCAATTCACATCGATTCATTAATAAATTATGAACCTATTTTCAAAGTATAATCGTTGTTACTTTTACTAGATAATTTATGTTCAAGTGAGTATTCTGTTATATTATAAGGCTTAAAGTTTATATAATATTACCACTATCAGTGGTTATCGATGTATATTATTGTACGATAGTTGCAAATATGAAATAATAGAAATACGATTTTCAAAGTAGATAACATTATAATAATATGTGTAGGTATTGTGTATTTGTGTATATTATTACTTAATACATTGTACAATATTGTTTAATATACTATAGGTAGCTCAGAGCTTTTCCCTGACTCTTTTTGACGATAACATGAATTGTTCCTTTTTATTTTTTAGTAGAAATAGGTATGACCTATAGATAATTATAGGACTTGTGTATTTTTCCCTTCGAAATTGATTGGTTGTCAGATATGGCCACGATTTAGATTATTCTCGATCAAATATGGGTAGCAGCTTTTTTTTTTTTTATACTTTTGCTAATTTTGAACATAATCTAATCGATTTTTGAAAATCTTAAGAATTATAAGTATTATTTATTTAATAAACACCTATAACTATTGAGTTATTTATCGAATAATAACTGTAGTAAATTGAAAATATTTTATATTTTCTTGATCAGACGACCTATATGTATATGATTACCTATACCTAGGTACATTATTTTTGTTTTTCATTAGTACGACAAGTTTTAGTCAATATACACTCCGCTCACGTTAAGAATATGATCAGTTAACACAGGGAAAACCGGTTTTAGGTGGTGAACTAGTCATGTTCTTAACGTGCGCGATGTATAAATCCATACTTCGTTCCAATCGGAGTTGGAATAATTTGAATGAACACATCATTACAGAAGTATTTAATGTAAATATGTAATATTAACTGTTTGCTATAAATAATAATTCTTTTTTTTTTTTTTTTTTTTTTTTTTTTTTTTA